AAAGCAATACGATCCAAGTAATATCGGAGAAAAATTAAAAAAAAAACGAAACAATTCTTGAGAGAATAGGGAGCGGGCAGCGCAAAAGAATAAAGGGTTCAGAGCCAAAGCGAATTCATTCGTACAGGATGGTGTTACTCGATCAGCTGATTTTATTTGAAATGAAATGACGAAACATATCCTCTATTTCGATTTTACATCCTTAAAGAAAAGAAAAAAAAAGAAGTGGCAAAAGACATTTAAGGGCTGTTTTCTCAAGTAGCTTTTAAAATTGATTTATGTGCCCTTCAAACATTTTGTGATAACAAAATTTGTCTTTAAATGGCAGATACATTTTAAAAGCTACTTGAGAAAACGGCCCTAAATGTTTGTTGTTGGGCTACTGCTACCACCTTGTATGAATGAATTCGCCTTGGCTCAGAGCGAAGATAAATCCTTGATAAGCTTACTTTTGACTTTTTTTTTACTTGCTTTAACAGGTATTTATTTTTTGCTTTTTGAAGCAATTGAAACTCTTCAGGGTTATACCCATTTTCCAACTGCTGCTAGCAAATCTAATTTGCACTGATAAAATTTTATGCTGTTTGCCAACTTAAGCCGAGTGCTGCTACCTTGCAATATTCGCATTTTTTTTTTATTTGTATTCAGCTATTATCGCCCGCCTCCTTTTGACAGCTGTACTAAAGCTGAAAATTTAAAGCAGTTCATAAAATTTTATAAGTATTTCATGCTCTTTTGATAAATTTTATTTTTAGTATTTGTGTTTTAAGTCATATACATACTACTGCTATACTTACTGCCGTATGCGTGTACATATTTTATTGTTTTATTATATTTGACATTTTTTGCATTTGTTGGCAGTTTGTTTTGTTTTTTGTAATGCTAAATTTTTAATTGCATAATTATTTAATATTTTAAGCAAATACATCTTATAACTACCATTAGTTTCAACTTCCGTTCTTTAGCCTATTTTTTGTTTTATTAAAAAAATTTTGTTTTTTTTTTGTATTTAGTATTTTTACAAAGCGTATCTACCAGCTCGCTTAATTGTTTATGATTAATTGCTTAATCGCTGACACAGTGAATGAACTGCTAAAAACGAGTTTTATGTACTGCTTATAAGAATAAATCGTGTTTAGCGCGCTTATTGCAAGTAACGGATGAAATAATAAAAAAAAAAAATATTTTTGAACCACTCTATGCATTTAATTTAATTATAGATGCACTTAAGTTCAAGAGCAGCATTTAAATTAATTGCATTGTGGATACATTTACGTCAGCTAAACCGTGAGCACCTTGTGTAATTCACGCATTTGTTAGTTATGGATTTTCGATACTATTAATTCGCTGGAGACAACTGCTATCACCTTTTCGTTAGCAAGTACATACATACATATATCTATTATATTTACGTGCGTTGAACTCATTAATGATTAATCGGAATTTTTTCTTACCATTAGGATAATGTTTACTACATATTTTGCTCATTAGCTTACAAATTGAAGTTGAGCGCAAACTTGGCCAGTTTAATAGAAGTACCGTTCAATTTTTTATTTTTTTTTAATTCAGAATCTAAAAGTTTGAGATTCTACTTACTGCTGACAGTTTTACAAAGTTTCGTGCACTCATTGAAACGAAGCGAGCGATGTTAAATGGCATGACGTTGTAACAGAATACACTGCCGGAACCAAGTATTGGCACAATATATGCCACAATTTTTATTTTATTTTATTATTTGTATAAAAATATGGTTCATTCTACAAAAAAAAAAAAAATAAACTTTGTGCAAAACTCGCGAAAATTCAGCAAAGTTTCATGCAAATTTTCAATTTTTTAATCAGATTTTTAGAATTTTTTTGAGTATGCAGTTTTGCAGCCCATTAAATTCTAGTAAAATAATGCAAGTTCAGAGTTAGTCGAAAATCGCATTGATTTTCGATATATTTTTTTTTGTTGAAAGTGTTTGGCATTTTTTCCATATTAAATATTTTGGAATTTTTTTTTTGTATGGAAGAAACTACGTGAAAAAAATTGCCAAAAGTCAACGGCATTTCCTAGCTACATAAAACTTGTACTTTATTATAATAAAATTAATTAGGCTACAATTCTGCATATTAAAAAAAAAAAAAATCTAAAAAGTTGAGAATTTGCTGTAGTTTCGCGAGTTTTGCACAAAGTTTAGAAATTAAATTTTTTATGTTTTTTGTTGTAGAATGAACCATATTTTTATACAAAATTAGCGGAAAAATATTAGAATAAAAATTGTTGCAAATATTTTAAAAAATTTACTGGCCGATGCTTTGTTCCGTCAGTGTGTATAGAATAAATATACGCTTTCACTCAATGTTTTACACGTGCACATTTATTTTTTAGTCTGAAATTTTCCTGAGCTATTTCGCAACTATAGAACTTCATTATTTTTTTCAGTGAATTTTTTTTCTAAAATTTAATCTATTGATTTGGAAATTGCTTCCATCTATTCGGCTTTTACAATGCTTTTTTGCATGTTACGTTTTTTCCCCTCAAGCAACTCTACATCACCTTGACAGGTGCACAAAAAAAAGTGACAGCTACAACCTTCGCTTTCAACGTACGGTAGACAGAAAAATGTTGTAACTTTGCCAAATTTAATTAAAATAAACATGTTTGTATCGCATCTAACTAAAAAAGTAAGAAAGCAAAAGGGCAAAAAATAGTATAAAAGCTCTTATGCATTGCAGTTTTTTAACTGGCGATTATATGACTATATAAGATTCTATATGCATTAAATTGCGCTTTCTTCGCGCATAATTAAAAGACGCTTCGCCGCAACTACATTAAGAAATTCGTCAAAATACGTTGACGCTATTAAGTTTTCATTGACATTAACCTCAATCTTTGAATTTTTCACGCGAGCATACATACATGTATTTTGCATTGACAGTTTGAATGTCAAAGCTAAGGGCAACATAGAGCAAGCTTGAAAAAAAAAAACGTCAACACCTGTCAGCTGCTGCGTTGAAGCATATACATATGTACATACCACATAAAGAAAAAACAAAAATTGCATCAAGTTAGAAATAAAAATAAGTCAATGAATAAATAGCTTTTTCCTCATATGCAGCCGTGAAAGTGGCAGCGCCGCAAAATACTAACTCTTCTTCCTATTCGCGTTTATTTTTCTTCTTTTTTTTTGTGCTTCATTTTATTGTGACTTGATTGACACACAGCTGTCATTGGGTTCAGAGGTAAACGCCCACTCGCATACTACCGGTGCTAACATTAAGCATTCCTTCCCATTACTATTTTTTTTTCCACCGACTGTCCAACTGTCAAGCGTTCACACTAGTGCAGAACGCCAACAACAAGTTTGTAAGACCTTAGGTAATCTTAAATGAAACTTGGCTACTGCGTTTTATTGACATTGGACGCATAAATATTATATTTACTCGTACATACCCATTTCTTATTTAATTGTTCCAAAGTCAGCTCGCTTGCGTTATCAGCTTGCTTTTTTATCAACTGGGGTAAATAAAAATTCTTTGTTAATCTTTGAAGACAATGATAACAACAACCACGCAAAACAACACGACGCACATTTGCACACAATCCACAAAGCCCTTGCCACAGTTAAAGTGTTTGATGCATGCAACTCTAACGGCGCTGCTTAAGTGTAAACTAAATATATACATCATAATTCCTACAAATATTGTTGATTTGCCACACAAAGGCAGGCGCTCGTTTATCAAGGCATGTTAATCGCGCAGGATTTACTTTTATACACTCGCACACCCACACACACAGCTTTAGAAATTACAAAATAAAAAAGAACAATAAGTAGAATGCCTCGCGATAAGCACATGCCTGCATAAACAATTGCGAAAACATCGCCCTACAATCTCAAGTACACCTTTATTACTTTAGTCTTATTTATATAGCGTTATTTGTAGAAAATTTACTGCAACAGATTTCTAGGCTGGTTGGCTGGCTGGTTAGCTGTGCTGTTGGCTGGCAGTCAACAAAGTAAATATGTATGTGCGTATGTATTTATTTTCCCTATTTGCTCTTTGGCTCTTATTACTCGACGCTGTTTATGACTTTGTTTTTAGCAATGCTCCATTTACCACTTGGCAACCCGACTACCAAGTTAGTCCATGCAATAAAAGTTAAACTGGTAATTATGGCTGATAAGCTGCGTAAACGCCCCATAATTTTTGTGCTGCCCGCTCTTAAAATCACGAATAAATACTTGAAAATAAGTAATTGAAAAAATGATTTAATAAACAATTAACGCTTTGTTCACCAATAAACAACTCTTTTTTTTTTCTCTCGCCTACTCGTGTGCTTCTCCTTTTTCCTACTCTCTTCTAACTGTGCACTCGTCGCATCGTCATCTGCTCTACTTTGTTGTTGCCTTAATGCGGCTTAAGGTATGCGACAGCTAATTGGTAAATTGAATGGCCTTTGGCCCGAGCATAGTGTAGCAAATTCTATTCCAAAAGAAATCGATCCAACGAAAGAGAAATTGGAAGGCGCCTGGGAGACGATAGGTAATTGGAATGGCAATATGTATATGTGTGTGCATTGAAATACCATAAAAAAAAAATCGTGCATGTGTTTTAAAGCACCAAATGGAAGCAGGCGTTAAATCTTGTGGTGCTGATAACGGCACAAAGAATGGTTGGAAAACTGAGTTCACGCAATACAATCTTTTTTCTATTAAAAAAATATTTAAACATTTATGCACCTTAATTTGATTTTGTATGAAAATTAGATTAAAAATATTTCTCTAAAAAATGTTCATATTTCAGTAGAATATTTCCAAATTTCAACTAAAGTTTAAATTTTTTAATCCTATTTTTTGCGACATAAAAACTTGTGCCTTGCCTAAAAATAGTTACATTCTTTATACATGTAATATAACTTTTTTATATGTATATATCGACTAATTTTTTATAATCTAAATCACTGCCTCATACTAAAGTACAATTTTCTTCACTATTTTTCTTCCCACTTTTTAGGCAGAGATGGTTCCAAGATTACAACAGTCGTTGCCACACCTGGCCAAGGTACGGACCGCGTGCAAGAAGTTTCCTACACAGATACCAAGGTGATTGGCAATGGCAGTTTCGGTGTGGTCTTTCAAGCGAAATTATGCGATACCGGCGAGCTGGTAGCTATCAAAAAAGTTTTACAAGACAGACGATTTAAGGTGAGCATATTCTTCGCATAAACATTAGGAAATACAACTGCGCTTAAAGGTTGGGTACAAAGTTAAGATGAAATAATTTAAACACAAATAAAAAATAGATCAATAATGGAAATAAAAACTTAAAAAAAAAATGTAAAATAATAAAAAAGTAGTTAATAAAAATTATGATTAACACCAGAAAAAGATAAAAAATATTAATTTAAAAAACCTAAACAAAGGACATGAGGGTAAACCAATCAAAATAAAAAGTAAAATTAGCAATTTAAAATGAAAGTGGCAGAAGCAAATAAAGAAAAAAAAACAAATGAAAATACAAATAAGAAATAATAAATGAATAGAAACAAAATAAAAATAAATATATAAATAAAATATATAGTATAAATAAAAAATATATATAGAAAAATAGATGCATGAAAAAATACATAAATAGAAAAAAATAATAAATATACATACATATAATTGATGGAAAAAATTAATTAAATAAAAACTAAAATATAATAAAAAATACAAAAAAAAAATACGAGCGAAAAATAAAGATATAGTGGCGGACATATCATTTTAGACCAAATTCAAAATAATATTGTTTGCCACTTATGTTTAGTTATTAATTTTTATGAATTTTCAATTCAAATGCAATTCATACTCTCACAAATAGCATTAAAACCTAAGTACAACGTAATTCATAAAATTTTCATCCAAATTACAAACTTTTCTCAGAAGTGCTAAAAATTTTTGAGTATAAATTTTGTATCCCTTAAATTTTTAGTACAATAAGAATTACCGTTACTTTTATATTTTTTGTGTACGAAAAAAAAACACAATTTTTATATGGAGGAAACCGCATAGAGAATCTAAAAAATCAAAAGTAATTTTTATACAGTTGAAACTTTCACTAAAATTTATTTATTTTATTATACTAAAATATAAAGGACTATAAGGACTGTATTCGCAAAACAATTTTAGCACAACTGAGAAAAGAGTTTGAAATTTTAATAATAATAATAAGTTTTAAAGTTTAGCTTTATTTGGTATTTATGAGGGAATAAACTGTATTTGAATTGAAAAATCTTCAAAATTATGTTTAAGTGATAAACAATATTATTTTGTATTTGGTCCAAAATGATATGTCCAACACTGTACCAACAAAGAAGTTAAAAAAATAAAAACTTACAAAAAACAAAAATTAAGTAAAAAATAAAAAGTTTAATTACAAAACATGTTCATACATATGTATGTATGTATGTATGTAGGTACATACAGTAGCGGAAAAATAAATAAGGACACGACTTATTAACAAATTTTGGCTACTTTCCTTTTATTTATTTTATGAAAGTGTAATTTATCTTACTCAACGCATTTTCTTCCATACACTGCATTTAAATTTTTTTATACCTTCAAATACGTTGCATCTCATGCAAAAAAATTATCAAAACCTACGGTATTTTGCAGCAACTCAACACTTGTAGATTGTTATACTAAAGTTTTAACGAGCCTTAAAATTGCATACCAACTTTTTATCTAAAAATTCTGATTAAAAAATTGAAATTTTGATAAAACATTGTTGAGTTTTCCTAATTTTTGTACAAGGTTTGAAATCGGGACTTATATTGTTTTTTAGATAATGAGCTATACTTTTATAAAACAAAAAATACAAAACGTTAAATAAAAAAAAAACTTGTTAAAATGTCTCGTCGCCATTTATTTTCCCGCACTGTACATATCGGCACCTCCAAACCATACTATGCTTTGGAGGCGTCGACATGCATGCAGATAATTCAAAAGTTAGGAAATAAAATATGTACATAAATGTTAAAATCCCGGCGCAGTAAAAAAAAAACTTTTTTTTAATCTTTCACATCTTTTTAACTTTTCTCTTATTTTTTTATCTCCCACAGAATCGTGAATTGCAAATTATGCGTAAACTGGAGCATTGTAACATTGTAAAACTTTTGTATTTTTTCTATTCGAGTGGTGAAAAGGTAAGTTCTGTTTAACAAGATAACAAACAATTTGATAAATAAATAAACGCACCCACGCGTCCGTCCCTACTAACAACAACAACAATTACAACCAAACATTAATGGCACATATCAACTACACATACAATAAATTATGTCGAGCAATTTTTTGGGACACATCGCTCAGATTGCCCTGTGTTTAATGGAAAATAACCGCATTCCCAATGAAGAAATTAAAAAAAAAATAAATAAGAAAAGCACGGGTGCAATTTTCATTTGCCACACGACAAATCATCTGCTATTTTTTTTTTTTTAACATAATGGCAACTGGAAGCGCACAACCAATGTTCAGTCAACATTTTTTCTCATAACTGCAATTTTTCATCACATTTCAGTGACCGATCGATCCCCTTTTTGCGTTCCTTATGTTTTCAAATGTTTCATACAGCATTCCAACAAGAAAACAATCCATGTTTATCACTTCAATTTTTATGTTCTGTTTCTAATGAATTCTTTTTTTATATTTATATTATTATATGGACAACTCAACTGCGCTTAAAAACTAAACGCAAAAATATGAATTTCCGAAAAAAAACGAAATGCGCAAAACAAACAAATTGCAAAAAAAAAAAATATATAAATTTTTTATGCACGCGCAAATTCTTGCAAATTTTTGACAACTTTCCAAATACAACTGTAATACACACTCAATACGAAAATGTAAAATGCAGTTAGCTGAATTCCCGATCGATATTGGCATCTTCGCCAGTGTCCTTAAACCGCAGGTAGCTAGAAAGTGTTACATGCAAAAAAACAGAAACAAAAACTATGTAAAATATCAAATAAATATCTTAGATACTCATCTCATCGATAAAAAAAAAACAGTGGAATTGAAAAAATTAAATATAAAACAGTAGGCAGCATGACTGCCAACAACAACAACTACAATCAAAAAGCAAAAACTGTACTACTCATGTCATCACGACATTTGGTTTGTTAGTGCTAACAATGATAATACTTTTTTGAATTCTAAACAAATCGCTACTCTCTACTACAAAAGCTTGTTGCAGTAAAAATAAAATGTACAAAGAGTGCAAAAAATTTATTGTATATAAAAGTACACAACATTGCTTACCTTATTTTCTTCTACGCTCCCCCGCACACATGAAGTTTACTGCTCGCGTCACTTTTTAATAATTATGTAAACCAAAAGCAAAAACAACAAATTTCCAAAAATTTTCACAGTGTAAATAAACGTAAAATTTAGTGCTAAGTCTTAGCTACTATGCGGCATTGAAGTAATAAGCAGAACATTATTATATTACATTAATGTTTTATCCCCCCCGCATATTGTTTTTCTATACTCTTCCCGCCACCAATTTCGAAGTGTTTTCATTTTATCAATCGTTTATCATTCGCAATTCGCTAAATGTGCACTAATTTTGTGTTCATTTTTGCTTTTATCCATTTCCAACAAATATTTTAATGCGTTTGCGCTTCTTCTCTTACTCTTTTCCTACAAAAAAAAAAAAAAATTCTAGCGTGATGAAGTGTTTTTGAATTTAGTCCTCGAGTATATACCAGAAACCGTATACAAAGTGGCACGTCAATATGCCAAAACTAAGCAAACGATACCAATTAATTTTATACGGGTAAGTGAATACGGATTTTCTATTTTAATGCCGCATTTTCACTGAGCTGTGAAATTACAAAAAATGTTGGCCATTGGAAATGGATTATTTTTATAAATTCGATTTGGTATTTTAATGTCCAACTTTGTCATTAAAATGTTTGTAATTTAATGCATAGTGGAAATTCGGTATAAACATTTTTTTTTTTTAATTCAGCATTTACGAATAATATTATTATTTTATTTTTATTTTTTTTTTTTTAATTTTAAAGCAGTTATTTTTTGATGAAATATTTTCTAATTTTTATTTTCTTCTGCTTCTCCCCCTCCGGCAGCTCTATATGTATCAACTGTTCAGAAGTTTGGCCTACATCCACTCCTTGGGTATCTGTCATCGTGATATCAAACCACAAAATCTGCTCTTGGATCCAGAGACGGCTGTGCTAAAGTTATGCGATTTTGGCAGCGCTAAGCAATTGTTGCACGGTGAACCGAATGTATCATATATTTGCTCGCGATACTATCGTGCACCGGAGTTAATATTTGGCGCCATTAATTACACTACAAAAATTGGTAAGTAACGAACAACTGAAAAAAATAATAACACGAATTTTATAAAATTTAAATAGATTTTTTCACATCAATTTACCTAAAAATTAAATTAAAAAAAAAAAACAAAAAAAAAATTATTTCTTTTCTTTATAAAATAAAAAAAATTTTTTTTTTAAAATTTTAAAGAATTAAAAAAATAATAAGTTCCAATTTTGAGTTATGTAGTATATTGTCTTAAATTGTAGATTTTTTATATGATTTAACTCAATGATCTTCAATTTTGAAATTATTTTAAATTTATGATTAGTTTGTATTTTCTGTTTCAGTCTTTTAGTTTCTTCAAATTCAAATTCAATTTTTTTTTTATAATTTTTTATTTTAATATTCTTTGTTTATATTTGAAATTTGTTTTCTTTATAACTTTTTTCACGCCATTTTCTTTCTTTCATCATGTTGTATGTGAGCAGTTAAACACATTTTTTCTCCTCTCTTTCAGATGTGTGGAGCGCCGGCTGTGTATTAGCTGAATTACTGCTCGGTCAACCGATATTCCCCGGTGATTCTGGTGTCGATCAATTGGTTGAGGTTATCAAAGTTTTAGGCACACCGACACGAGAACAAATACGCGAAATGAATCCAAATTACACGGAATTTAAATTTCCACAAATTAAAAGTCATCCATGGCAGAAAGTAAGTGTAACTTAGAGGTTATAGAAACTGTATGTAGGTTAATGTGAAATATGTAGTTTTAGTTGTAAAAAGGAGTGAAATTAAGAGGCAAACGAAAGGAGATAAAAATAAGGACAAAATTACGAGAGTTAGAGCAGAGAAAATATATGTATTTGTTTATGAAAATTATGTGATAATTGAAATTGCAAATGAAATATGCAGCTTTAAGCCGCCCCGCCCCGCCCCGTCAGTCTTTGATAGATCGATTTATTTAAATGGAGTTATCGCGTTATTGGTGTTATCGACTTTCGCTTGCTTTTTGTCTTGAGCGTTAATCAAATTCACTTAGTATAGCCATTATTTAAGTTATAATTAATTTATTCAGTTGCTGGTATGTTTAATGGT